GCTAGCATAATGGACAGGTTTTTGACGGGGTGCAAAGCAGGAGATGAAGCATCGCCAAATGTGTTTCCAAACCAACTTCCTTCCAAGCCAAAGACTAGAAAATATGGTGAAGCATATCTTCCCCTTGGCTTCACCTGTACAAGTGCCAAGGTAGGTCTCCCCTGCAGAATTGCTTTTCCCCTGCATCGGGAGCAGCGCTGGGCTGTCCAAATCACGGACAAACAGTATCCCACATTCTTGATTTTTAGTTCATAAACACTTCTTGTATAATGACTAACTACTCCTGACATTTTGGAGATGTTAGCTCTTTATACAGTGAAGTTACATACAAATAATATCAGGCTGATCCTGCCACAATTTGTTCCCCCTGTCCAAATCACGGACAAACAGTATCCCACAATTGTTTATGTTTTTGAACCTATTTTGCACAGAGAGGCATTTTAAAAATGTATTGATAGCAATTTTGAATATTATTACACAGGAAAAAAACATTTTTCTTGTAAAACAAATGGGGGACCTAGCAAAAAAAAAAAAGTTTTGGAACCACTGAGGTACGCGCTATTAAACGAGGCTATTTTTAATTTGTCCTGACCGGCGGAACCGGAAGAGAAAACCGCAGGGATTAGTGTGTTTACAACTCCTAGCATCCTGGGTGCATCAACCTGCCATCAGACACATGCAATTTGCATTTGCAAGCTGGTGGGCTTAGCCTATCGTATAACAGCTTCTCTTTTAGCTTTCTTTCCTGGATTGTTGTTTAGGTGGTGGTGGACTCTTGTTGTTCTGGAACCGTCGCAGCGTCGGGCCACCCACCATCTGTAGAAGTGGGACAAGGGAACAGATGGCGCATCCAAGCCGGGCTGCAGGGTTGCTGACGCTGAGCGTTCGTGCAGAACTGGAGATCAGTATCAATCATTAAAATAAAGCACTGCCGCCGTATACAGCACAGTGCGTTTTTCAAGGTTACCAATGCCAATGTGGTTGCGATAGAAGCGAGGGTAGGGGGACTGGAAGCATCGTATGTCGACCAAATTGAGGCGCAACGATCGGGCGACGATTTGACCGCTGGCATCAACTTAATCCCTTCTGACGTGTCTCTGTCTCGGTGAACAATGGTTGACAATCGCTACGCCACAGCTCTGGTCATCGCCTGCGTGCTGAGCATCATAGCCACCGTGTATCTGTCGGTGGCAATCGGAACGCAGCACTGGTACCAGTACAGCAGCCCCACGGTGCGCGGAGAGGCCAACATTTCCGAGTTGCGCTCGCTGTACGAGGAGTTCATAGACGGAGAATTCGATGAGAAAACCTACAGCGACACGTTGTTCCGTCTTAACGGGACTGTGGGCCTCTGGTGGCGGTGTGTGCTTGTTCCTGCCAACGCTCACTGGTACAAAGAGCCAGGTATGTATATGTGCTGACGTCAGTAGCACAGTGTCCTTGTAGCTTTACGTGAAGTTGGATCATTCACGTCTCAGATGGTTTAAACTATACAGAGATGGCTTTTGCTGCTCTCTGATTGAGCATCTGGTCTCAGGCAGGTGTGGTATATTCCCAGGCCTCTCCTCTGTTTTCATCACATCTCTATGCAGAGCATTTTATTTTGTTTCCCACTACACAGACTTAGACAGGAAATCAATTCCAACCCTGTTCCTCCAATTATTCATTATAGGGTCACGTGGGGGGGCTTGACCCTGTGCCAGCTGTCACAGGGCAAGAGGCTGTGTGCATCCCAGACACGTCTGCCTGTCCCCTGCAGGGCTGACACATACAAAAAAATTATTCATAGCTACAGCCAATTTAAAATCACCAGTTAACCCAACCCCACTAACTGCATGTTTTGGACTGTGGGAGGGAGCTGGCCTATTGAGAGAGAACCCACCTAAGCATGGGGAGAACGTGCAAACTCCAAACAGAGTGGACTTTCGCTTTCTGGTGCTAACCACCACACCAACATGCCATTCAATTTTAACCACTGTTGCCATTTAGTTTGATCACTCATTTTTTTGATCACCAATTTCTACCTGGGCCTTACGATCACTTTCATTTGTAGGTGAAAAACCAACCGTACAGTAGGTATTTCCTGTCGTGCTTAACGCTATATTTCTTTTCATAATGTGAGAAAGTTTTCTCAGGGCTTTCACATTTCCTTTACATTTTGTGCGCATTTGTACAACCAGTTTCTCCACAGGTAGTACGAAACTCAATGTTTGAAATGAAAATTTAATTCAAATGCACAGTAAATGGAGTATAAACGGGAGCCTGATCTCTTGTAGGTGCCAAGATGGTGCTGGAGTGTCGAGGCTTCACTCTACCTCAACAGTTTACTCCAAAGTACAAAGAACCAGGGAACCACAACAGCGGGGAGGACATGGTGCGCACATGTAAGCTCAGCCACAAGTTTATGCTTTTTAAAATATGCAAAAACCACACTTTAGCTGTGAGAATATTCTATATTAGATTCAGCCTCTTGTCTAAGTAGTGCATTACTTACATCTGATGTTGAGTACTACATCAATCCCAGTCAGGGCAGAATCTTATCTCACACATCCCTCTGTGTGTGCGCAGATCTGTGGAGGTGCCAGTTTCTGCTGCCGTTGGTGTCTCTGGGTCTAGTGGTGTTGGCAGGTCTGACTGGATTCTGTGCCTGTCTGTGCCGAAGCCTCACACCAACTCTTGGAATAGGAGTGCTTCACATGCTGGCTGGTAGGAGCAATGTTGAAATCCATACATGCTGTCAGACTGTGCAATTAAACATTTTAATAAGGGTTCACAGATGTAAACTTTTACATCTGAAAGTAACTCTACAAACTTATTTAAATATAGTTCTCTCCATGGTTTGTTATTGCTTTTGTAAGGCATGAAAATCACAATGACATAATCTAGTCAGTGTCCATTTTTTTATGCACAGTCTGTGGTTATAGTGCATGTTGAGTCAATCTCACATTGTCATGACTGGGAACCAAGCAGATCTGTTGGCAAAGTGGACCTATCATGCACATTTTCAGCTTTTATTCTTGGTAACTAAAAGAAACTTGATGAAACATTCAAAATAATCTTTATTTTTCAGTTCAACCACTGTCTGAAACACACTGTTTGCATTAAATTTAACAAGCAGAGTGTTTCAAGCAGTCTGGAGCTCAAGCTTTTAGCTCACAGCGAATACTTTTCCATACGAGAAGAAGGTTTCCATTAATATTATTTCCTAATAGTCGAGCTTTTTCCACATTAACCAATCTAATGTGAAACAAGCAGTGATGCTGCAAAATGATAAATATACTATCTGGACGTTTAGCATTTGACTTATTACGAAGTGAATACCAAACTATAAGCACAAAAATTTCTACCTAAACATAAATTTGAAATCTGATAAGTGATTAAACCCTAACTAAGTGTGTCTGTACGCCATCCAGGTCTCTGCACCTTAGCCACAGTGTGCTGCTACCTGGCGGGGATGGACCTGCTCCACAGGGTGTCGATGCTACCCGACAAAGTGGACGGCTCTCTCGGCTGGTCGCTGTACCTGGTCCTCATTTCTTCACCTCTCCACATGATGGCTGCCGCCCTGCTAGTGTGGGCGGCGCGCAGCCATAGTCAGAACTACTACCGCATGACTGCCTACCGGGTGGCATAAACTGAGATTTAGCTCTGGATCTTAAGCCCTGTTTAGAGTCTGACACCAAGATTCGTTTTCTTAATGAGTTGTGGGGGTTTTAAGATAAGAAGGCATGACCCCGTGAACTGCATACCTGGTATCAGAGTGCCAGATAAATTTAAAAAAAAAAATCTTGTTTGGAAGAAAAGTAAAAGCAAGTTCTTAAATGACAGTTTACACAGGTTTCATGTGTACTGACTCCAGTTTTCCTTCCTTCTCATCCCATCTTATCAGATTACAGAGATTTTGTGATATTGCTGTTCTTCCTGTTTGTCATAAGGGCACATGCGTACTGCACATTTTTAAACATCTTTGATCTGTTGAAAATTGAACAGGATTTAATTTTATCTTTTAAAAACGTCACAGTTGTTGTCATAGTTTTCTTCAGTCCAATATAAATCTTCCATTGTAAAAATATAATCAAGTCAACTGACGTATAATGGAAAATATTTTAACTTGCACAATTTTTGTTGATTTTGTTGATGACGTATTTCGCAAAGGAAGTCAAATTTGTAGGGTTTTTTAAATTTAACCAAAAAAAGCTGCACACTGACTACTGTTCCTTGATATGTGTGATTTTTATCATTTAAATGGCGATGACAGAAGGCACTTTAGTGATAAGTAAGCACACTTAGTAATAAAAGAAGTACTAGAGTCTGGGAAAAGTGTGTATTTACAGACCTCTGCTGGTGAAATTTTCTAGTCTGCCACACGTGATTGCAGCTGAATGTGATGACGTTCCTGTTCGTTGCACTTGAAGAATGTGGCCACAGGTTTGTTGTATTTACACAATGTTCCCATGACTAGAATTTAATTTACAATTCTGTTTCAAATCCTCTGTTGTTGTTGTTTTTTTACTTAAGTTTATTTATTTATTTATTTATTGTTTATGGTAGTTATTATGTTCAGACTGTGTGTATAATTTGTTTACTACACGATGTATGTATTGCATTGCTTTGTTTGCTTTTTGATCACATCATGTTGTGACTGATTTTTGTAGAAAAAAGTGAAAACCACAGTAGTGCTCATTTACTTTTTTTTTTTTTTTAGTTGAGCACATACATTCATGAAAGTAATTTTCTTAGTTCATATTTGGGTGTTTTTTGTTGTTTATTTGATCGATGTATGTCCCTCAGCTGACGGATTAATGTGCTGAAAAACAAACAAACTGTTTTAGTCTCATTTCCCTGGTTGGCACTATGAATGTACTTTAAAGGCCATATTATGATAAGCTACAGCATTTCTTTGCACCTAAATTAATTTCAAACATATTCTGACAATTGCTGTAGTAATCAGTAGTGAATTTCTATATTTTTAAAATGTAAATATTAAAAAAATTACATTTGGAGAGAAAAAATACCACTATTACCCACAAATTCATGATATCTGTTTGTGAAATATCACTGCTGATAAAGATTTATGAGCTTCATGAATATCTGAAATGATGCACTGTTCGTCTCATTATGAAACACATTGTATTTTACACATTCACCCTTTAAATACTGGAAACTCAATCCCTGAATGCACACTACCATGTGTTGTTTGTGAAAGAGTGCTTAATCCCCCTGTTATGAGCTGCAGCAGTTGATAACTGTGTATTTAAATATCGTGTGTGACACATGTCACCATTTCAATAAAAAGTTTTGTAAAAACTGAATTCAGTCATCAGTCTCATGTGGTTAACATCTTTTGATGCAAATTCCTGCTCATCAGCTTGTTGCTCCTGCTCCGCCTGCACTCGGATTGCAGGAATCATCACCGTAGCCCAACTGTCGCAGAGTGAGTCACTGAGTACATCCTGGACGCGGCGCCAGCCTCTTGCACGGCTTCCTTTTTTCTTTTATATTTTGACTTTGCTTGTACAGTTTCTCCTCAGGAAATAGAAAATACACCGAGATTTTAAAAAAACGACAGCAACGTTTGAAATGAATACATTCATACAGTAAATGGAGTTTAATGTGCTTAAACACTGAAATAACTGATCTCTTGTAGGTGCCAAGATGGTGCTGGAGTGTCGAAGATTCACTCTACTTCAACAGTTTACTCCAAAGTACAAAGAACCAGGGAACCACAACAGCGGGGAGGACATGCTGCACATATGTAACTTCAGCTATACTAGTGCATTAATTACATGTGATGTTGAATAATTACCCCAGTCTATGCAGAAGTTTGTGACATGCAGAGGAAGGTACTTAAATGCCTCATTTACTAACAATCTCACATCTCCCTCTCTCTGTATGCGCAGACCTATGGAGGTGCCAGTTTCTGAGCAGGTCTGACTGGATTCTGACTTAGAATAGCAGTGGTTCATCTGCTTTCTGGTAAGCGCAATATTCAAATGTCAACAGACTATATTAGTAAACAGTTTACTAAGGCTTCAGGAATGTGACCTAGTACATCTAAAACAATGTTCCCTCTAATTTTTCACATGTCTGAGCGAACACACAAACTCCCTGAGCGTCCCTTGAAGCACTGTGAGCAACAGCAGACGTGTGCACTGTGGTCACGCCAGCATCGAATCCATCCAAGTTACATGGTTTATTAAAATAATCAAAGTACAGCATTTACATTTATGTTAGACTACTTTTAATTAAGTGCTTTAGCCCACTTACAATGAAAAAAAATCTTGTTCATGACCTGTGTAGTATGTTAACACTATTAGAAGTAAAAATAACTTCAACTCCAATTTTGAAAACACAACTTTCTTTTTTTTTTTTCTTCCTATAAAGCTCTGACTTGTATTATGAGTTTGTGGTCTGGGAGAGAGTCCTGTAACTCTCTGTCTGCATAATACAGTATATTAATGACCTATGTTGGGCAATTAATTATATAGTTGCTTCTTCAAAAAAGTAACTGAGTTTTGCAAACAACGAAGTTTATTTGCAGCTGTTTAACCTAAAAATGCAGCCAAGGCGTTTTTCTAGAATTTACAGAACAATCAGCTGTTCTGCATCAAATCTGATGCCACACAAATTATCTGTGTCACTCCAAAAAATACTTTCTGTCCACTATGAGATGAAGGAGAACAATAGCCTGATACCTGCAGGCCTGACAACAGGAGATGTATCACTCCTGTAACACCTGTAACATTCAGCAGTCACCTCAATGTTCTGACACACACAACAAAACTATTGACTACACTGCACACTAACTACACAAGATTTGCGCTAAACGTCACAAGTCACAAGTCTCTCACATCTGGGAGTTCGTCTTGTAATCGGAAGGTTGCCGGTTCGAGCCCCGGCTTGGACAGTCTCGGTCGTTGTGTCCTTGGGCAAGACACTTCACCCGTTGCCTACTGGTGGTGGTCAGAGGGCCCGGTGGCGCCAGTGTCCGGCAGCCTCGCCTCTGTCAGTGCGCCCCAGGGTGGCTGTGGCTACAATGTAGCTTGCCATCACCAGTGTGTGAATGTGTGTGTGAATGGGTGGATGACTGGATATGTAAAGCGCTTTGGGGTCCTTAGGGACTAGTAGGGCGCTATATAAATACAGGCCATTTACCATTTACCATTTCTAAACACTCCTAAACTTACCCCCTTCCTAAACATCTAAATGCCATGTTTAGGAAACCAAAGTAATTTTTTGATTTTGGTTTGGTTTGGTTTTACGTGGCCTATCAACACAATTTAAAAACTGGGATTAAGTCCACACTTTTTCCGTCAATTGTTCCGTCTGTCCTGCTCACGTCTCCAATGGTTGTTCATGTTGTCATTAATGTGGCTTCACTCCACATCAGCCACGCTGCTTTGCTAGCTAAAACACCGGTGTCGGCACATAAGGACGCTGTCATAGCCTGTCAGCGAAGTTGATTAGCTGCGAATGTGAATCGCGTTATTGGCTGGACTATGGAATAAGGTGGCATCATTCTAATCCCATACGAGAGCAGCCAGTCACTGACTAACACTGCAAAACAGAATTGTTAACATATTTATTTTAACTCATTCACTGCCATTGACGTCTATAGACGTCAATGGCAGTGAATGAGTCAATGGGTTTAACTCATTCACTGCCAATAGCTGGCAGTGAATGAGTTAATTTTAGTTCAGGTTAGATTTCATTTCTGTGCGCAGAGACCATGCCGGCAGTGCGCAATTGCGCACGCGCAGCTTAGAGGGAACATTGATCTAAAAGTAGGTTATTTATGTAAATGTAATTTCAGTTTGACAAATACTTTCAAAGTAATTATAATATTGCAAATTATAATTATATTTTGCTTTATACCTGTTTTTTGGGGCAAACAAAATACCCAGCCTATTTTATGTCACAGTGAATTATAGATTTGCCATGCTAACCGTGGCAGCTAACAATATCAATAGTCAAATGTCCATAGCTCCACAGAGTATGGTTCAGTCTGTTGATTTGTTTTACTTTTTAAAACAAAATGTCAAAAGGTCTGAAAACTATAATGACATAGCATGGTCACAGTGTCCATCTTTTATATACAGTTTGTGGTTGTACAGCATGTCACGATAGACGGGGAACAGAGCAGAGCCATTTTGAAAGTGGACCTATCGTACACATTTCAGCTTGTAGTAGCCATCTGTAAAAGAATATCTTGGCATGATTCACAGTTGAAACTAATCCTTATTTATTTAGTTCATCCACTTTCAGCTACTGGGCACACCCCGAGTATAACAAAAACGCACATGCTTTTTGTCAGCTGGGCCAGTTGTTTCGTAATGGGGGTTTTTTACGTAGCTTCTTTGGAACAGACTGAAAAAATTTGGCCTCGGGAAGAACAAAAGAACAAAGGCAGTGACACTGATTACTGTCTTTGCAGTATGTTCCCATGATTTCAGGGGAACATACTTTGCATACATTTCCATAATTGTTTCACTCAAGTTATATTTACTCATTTAGAATTTATGCTAGTTTTTAGGTTCAGATTGTGGTATAATTTGTTTACCCAGTGTATTTTTTTGATCATATTTATCATGTTGTCACGGATTTTGTAGAAAAGGAGGAAAATACAGTAGTGCTCATTCACTAATTTGTTTTGCTGACCGCTTACATTCAAAAAGTAATTTTCTTGTGAATTGGTTTTTAATCTGGTGTTTATGTTGTTTATTTGATCTATATATGTTCCTCAGTTGACTTATTAATTTCAAGGAACCTGAAACAGTGACTGTACTTTAAAGGTCATATTATTACAAGCTTCTTTGCACTTCATTTTGAACATATCCTGATCATCGCTGTAGTAATCGGTAGTGAATTTCTATTTTTTTAATTTAAATATTTAAAATAATTAAATTGCCTATGAATTCATGCCATCTGTTTTTACACATTCAATTCTTACTAGAAACTTAATTCCTGAATGCACAGTGGCATGTCTGTGAAAGATAACGCATGCCATCATTTCAATGAAAGCTTTTGTAAAAATTTAATTCAGCCATCACTCTCGTGTTGGAAACGTCTTCACTCCTCTTCTTCTGATGCAAATCCCTGCTCATTAGCTTGTTGCTCCTGCTCCGTCTGCACCCGGATTGCAGGAATCGTGATGCGCCTCTTTCTTGCCAGGGAGAGAGCGATGCCCTTCTCGTAGTAAGCGCATTCGTTGATGAAGAAAGGATAGAGAGGTTCAGTGCCTTTATACCTCACTGTTTCTCCTGAGAACGTCTGGAACAGCGGGTCTTCAGGGTGGAGCAGGCAGAAGTCTCGGTCCTGTGAGGACAAGCAGATGGTTTAGGTGCTGAGCAACACCTGTCGGATTTAACAGGATTAAAAGTGCCATAACAAAGCTCCAGTGGCTTAAAGTGCAATATCATTAAGTGATGCTAGGTGCTTATTTTAAATGCAAATAAAAAAATCATATGTCATATGTCAGAAGCTAAATTTAAGAAGTGCAGAACAGTTTAAAAATACAATATACCAGACTGATAGTTATGCAACCATCCTATTCTCAGTAAACATCTCTACCAAAGCCTCCTCAGGTTGGTTGTGTTGACAAATTTAACGAAACTCCCAGACATTTCCAGCACATTTTTATTTTTACTTCAGCTTTTTTTCTTATTTCAGTTTTCACTAAAGTTTCCTCAGTTGACTAAAGCTTAAAGCAGTTTAATCTATGTCGTCCACATTACACATTTCCCTTAAAAACCACAGTGTAAAGTATAATGGATAAAGACATTTATTTATTGCGTCTGCCTGTACAGCTGCTTCTGACATTTAGCGGTGTTAATCTTAAATAAATTGAACTGACTTGTTGTTTTTTTACTATCGAGGTTGGCATTGACCCAGTCAGCCTGCCTTTTAGCCACATGAATTAACTTAAAGGTGTTAATTTTTAATCCGGTCACCTTTGGCCATCCTTTTCCGTTTGGATTCCAAATAGGTGAAACAAAGATTTCAACTTAACACAAACCCTTGACAGATATCATCTCTGGGACAAAGCTCCTTTAATAAAAAAGGCCTCACCTTGTGTTGTAAATGTTTATACTTTACAGTAAAAGAAAACGCACACTGACTGAATGAATCACTTCTGGACAGCAGGTGTGGTGACAGGCTAAATATAAAACTTGATTCATTCTTGCACAAACAGCTTTTGAGTTCAGACTGTGATTATTTTTCTTGGGACAAAGGGCCTTTCTTCTTCTTCTTTGTTTGTGTTTTGTACATGTCTCGTACTTTATGGTTATAAAGTTTGTTTCTGATGTTATGTGCGCCTCTTCATACTTTACAGCCTCCCTGGTTATGTCTAACTTACATAATTGCTTGGCAGTACTTCAGTGTTTTGTTCCGAGGCGTTTTTTGCTTTTAAGTGAAGGTATCTCAGGCCGTACCTGGAGACAAGGATGAATGGCTGCTGTGATATTGCGGGTCTCGCTGTCTCTCGGGTAGTCGATGTGTTTAACCATGGTGAACACGTCCACAAATCCTCCCTCAAACACATTACCTGGTAATAAACAGAGAAGGTGGTTGAAACCAACTGAGAGCCTCAAAGATGCATTGTTTCAGCTCAGCCCGTAATATGTCTATAAAAATGTACCTGAGTTAAAGAGGCGGACCCAGTCAAGCATGTGCTGGACACCCACTTTCATTGCTGTATAGATGTTTGACCTCACCACGCCGTGAGGCTGAGGGCCGATCTCCATGGCTGCAGATCAAGGATTTAAATTGAGAGTTATCACGCACTAATGCCACTTTTGACTAGACTAGATTTATAAAAGCTGTAAAAACTTACCAAAGCCATGTTTTCCCAGTGAATCAAGGGAATAGGACTCTTTGTTGGACACATCAAAATGTAGGAATCTCATTGGTGTATCTGGCATCTCCCTCTAAAAAAACTCACATTTTAGCTCACAAACATGCAGGGCGCAAAGATTTCAAACTAAGAAGCTGGTTTACTCACTTGCAGGTGTCTAAATATGTGCAGGCAGATCCAGTCACAGTCAGAGTATCCGATGAAGCACAGGCCCATGTTGGCAGTGGTGTTGTGGAGGTCGCAGACCAAATCCACTGCCTCCGGACTGCCCTTGGGTCCTAGCAGGGCGTTCAGCTCTCGGGACCTGATGATCTCATAGGGGGCCATGTCTGAGAAGGGACCACTGCGGGATAAAGAAAAATACAAAATAGCAGCACGCTCTTTGATTTTACAACTGACACCATGAGTGTTATCTCTGATTGTTGCCTTACTTGAGGGTGGCGTGGGTAAAGCAGCGGTTCAGATCAGTGTCTACGTATCGGCGACAATGCTGCATTGCCCGCGGGTTTGACAGCACCAGCAGCACCAACGCAGGCTTCGAGTCCTCCTCTTGCTCTTTCTTCATAACTTCTCTCTGCAGTTTCAGCAGCTCTCGCACCAAATACACACCGGACAGCTCATTGCCATGGGTACCTCCACACACGGCGACCCGGGGCAACCTTGGCAAAGGCACCATCTGGTCTACCTCCATCTGACTGAGAGCTGAGAGACTTTCCTGACTTATTGAACACTGTAAAGGGACAATTCCAGCTTAAAGGCACTGTACTGTAAATCAGCACTGAGATGCAAGACTCTTAAGGAGAAGCTTGATGTAAATCAGGGTGAACTGCCAGCTCAATATTCACAAATTATAGATGAATGAACGACAAGGAATAACACTGTACATTTTACCCAGTCTACCCCTCGCTGTTACCTTTCTCTTCCCTCTCCCCCTGCCGTTTACCCTCTTCCACCCTCTCCCAGGCTTTCATGCATTTTCACTGATTCAGCATTCCCATCCCTCCCTCTGTTCAGGCAGTTGCTGCCTGTTATACAAACTCTCACCGTTTCTCAACCACCTCCTGTCCACTGCACTGCACTGTACCACACTGTGTGGTAGGAAAGGGTGTGTCCCGAGTGTGATGGAGTGTGTCGGTCGCTTCCTGTAGTCACAGCATCAGTCAGGTTAGATGAGCTGAAGAGCCCCTCCCCAGCTTTCCCCGTATTCCCTGTTTCTCTTTGCCCCGTGTATAGGATGGTAGGTTCCAGTCTGCCTTTCAAAAAAAAAAAAAAAAACTGGCTAAAAATAAATCTGCTGGCATGACACAGCAAAGAGAGGTGCCTGTGATGTGTACAATAGAAGAAGCAACTCCTTTGGAAGCAAGCAGGAGATTTAAAGGGAACACACAGGGAGGCGGACTATTTATAGACAAGTACATATAAGAAGTCAAATAGATTTTCTATTATCGTCAGGTGACTTTTCAAATACATATTTTCTGTATTTCTTTCTATTTTGTAATAGTTTTTACTAATTGTAAAAGTAGCTCAATCAGAACTGCGCTTCAAAGTGTTTCGATCAATCAAATGGGAAGGGACAGATAATTGTCACGCTATAAATGTAATGGATAAATTTAAAGAAAAGACCTTTTGTTGGTGAAAGGTGATGAAAAGTGTAAGAAGTGTACATGAAAACTCCAAAAGCAGGAAAAGCCCCACAGGAGGCTTGTTTTTACCCCCTCTCGCCAGCGCTACTATGAAAATATACCAGTTTTGTTAATAAGTGGTTCATTTGGTTTATTTTCTCAGAGGGCATTTAAAGTCCAGTAACACACATCCATTCTGAGGCAGGAAACGCCATCCTGTGGCTCATTTTGTGGTGAGTAGCGCCCTCTAGTGGACAAACTATATAACAGCATGCCTGTACAAAGCACAATTTTTCCATTCAAACATGATATTTATCAGATAATATACTCAGTGTTGACCTGTGAAATACACTAATCTGCTCCTCAGACTTTAATTTTGAACCTTTACGTGTAATTTGCATTGCCATTGTGTAGTATACATTGTGACTGAAATCCAGACTTTGAGCTTTAATTCAAGGGGTTTAGCAAAGTTTTCTTGTTTAGGAATTACAGCCTTACATATAAAACACAAAACGTTATATAGTAACCTGGTCAACTGACTGGCCAGCGATTTCATGGCCCAATGAAGTCTATTCCCGTATTATTTCTTTACAAATTAAACACATAAAAGATCTGGAGCTGAGTCCAAGTATTGAACTAGTGCTGGGTAGCTGTTCACTGGAACTTTAAATACACTGAACAAAACTATAAACGCAACACTTTTGTTTTTGCTCCCATTCCCCATGGGATGGACGTAGAGACCTAAAATTCATTCCAGATACACAATATAACCATCCCTCCCAAACAGTGGTCACAAATCAGTCCAAATGTGTGGTAGTGGGCACATCTGCTATATTGAGATAATCCATCCCACCTCACAGGTGTGCCACATCAGGATGCTGATCTGACATCATGACTAGTGCACAGGTGTACCTCAGACTGCCCACAACAAAAGGCCACCCTGGAATGTGCAGTTTTGTCTCACAGCAAAATGCCACAGATGCCACAAGCAATGAGGGAGCGTGCAATTGGCATGCTGACAGCAGATCTGTCGCCCGTGCATTGAATGTTCATTTCTCAACCATAAGCCGCCTCCACAGGCGTTTCAGAGAATAAGGCAGCACATCCAACCGGCCTCACAAATGGTGGTCACACCAGATACTGACCGGTTCTGGGTCCCCAGACCCCCAATAGCGCAAAAAACTGCACATTCCAGGGTGGCCTTTTGTTGTGGGCAGTCTGAGGTACACCTGTGCACTACTCATGATGTCAGATCAGCATCCTGATGTGGCACACCTGTGAGGTGGGATGGATTATCTCAATATAGCAGATGTGCCCACTACCACACATTTGGACTGATTTGTGACCACTGTTTGGGAGGGATGGTTATATTGTGTATCTGGAATGAATTTTAGGTCTCTACGTCCATCCCATGGGGAATGGGAGCAGTAACAAAGGCCAAAGCTTACACTGTGCACTTCAGTCACTTCCCCTTTCATTTAAAACCCACTGTGATAATGTACATTTAAAAATTACCAAAAAAAATTACACTATGTATCAATGTGTTTTAAAAACTAATTTAGTGAACCTTAAGAATGAAAACCTGGAAATGCAGATTAAAGAAAAACAGTATAACGGTGCTGTTTGACATTAGAGCATTTATTTCAGTTTTTCTCTTTGTTAATACAAAATACTGAACAATGCCACGTCCCTCGCCCATCTGAGTCAAGTACTGAAACTCCCTTTTTTTGGAAAATGAAGCCTACCAATATTATGAGGAACCAAAAATACAAGGGGAAAAAAAGTCTACCTTACTACTACAATATGAATTTCTATACATTTATAAAATCAGTTATTTGCAATGATTTTCAATTCTTTATTCTTCACTTTTTAAGTACACTTACAAACAAAATTATGAAATGCACGCACGCACACACACATACATATATCCTGTGTTTTTGGTGTCAACATGTAGTTGCATATGTATGAACATGTATTTTTTTTAATGTTTTCTTCACTCATTTGTCTGTTTTACAGTCAATACAAGAGCACAGCAAGTATCCTGCACTATTTAAAACCATTTTTTTGTTTTGTTTTTTGTTTTGTTTTTTTACAGTAAATTTGGTTACCGTTCACTTGATTAACAAAAATGTCAAAATATTATTCCAGCATTGTGAAAAAAAAAAAAGGGGTAGTTTTATTATTTATTATTAAGGTAAACAGTTATATGAGACAATTTGCAACAACAAGTGCAGGTTCTTCATTTCTAAGGCAAAGAAAGGTTGTTGTTTTTTTAGGCCTTGCCACACTACAATTTTCACTGTCATACTTCCCACTAGGCCTTGGTAAAGAAAAATAACCTAATTATAAACGTGATAGTGTGAAAGGTCATCTTTTTTTAAAGCACACTGCACAGTGGCCCTGTTGTAAAGTGATGGAAGAGCAGATAAGCAGTCATACATACGAGCACGCTACAACTTTCACTTCATTACGTTAAGACACTAAATCAGAGATTAACAAAAGAAAACTTGCTAATGTCTTGAAGGCCACCAGTTGACAGTTTAATGAAAATTACTTTTAATCATACCTGTATATAAATGTATATATTAATCAGGTTTTATCCCCCCCCCTTTATTTTTTTTCTAGAGTTATTACCAAAGCAGATAATGCTATGGGTGACAACAGGAAAAACAAGAAACAAAAAATAAAACCCGAATCACCTCAATCAAACACTCTTGATCTGAAAAGACTGAGCAAACTTGATTTGGAAGCACTGCTCGTTTCACATCCTCCCACTCATGCTCAGCGGGACAAAAGAAAAAAAAACAAACAAAAAAAAACTTAAAAAAACAAAACAAAACACAAAAGCACCCAAACAGCAAAGAAATTTTCATTCCAGTCCTCTCAGATATGTGACAGCAACGAGGGGGAAACCAAATATGGGACGAGGGAGAGAAAACCCTGCTCTCCCTGTGGATCAGACAGCAGTGACCGTCCTGGAGATCTCTTAGAACAGAGAGCAACTGGAGGGGAGCAGCCGTCAGAGAAGGGGAACAGCAGGCCTTTGATGGTGTCTCTTCACGGCACTTTGCAGTCAATGCCAAGATCAAAAGATGTTGGGACAGCTCTCCCAGCTCCCGCGCTCCTTAGCTTCCCAGTAGCCTCCCTTATAGATGTGAATCTCCTCACCTGTGATTGGGTCCTCGCAGCGCTCGAACCAAAGTGCAAGATAGCTGTCATGAGGTGCGCCTGAAAGAGAGGGAAGGACAGAGGGGGGAAAGAA